TCTACCACCAGCCCGCCGGTCTCTCAGGGAGCCTGGTCTGCCACGCCCACCTGCAGGGACGGAGCCTGGATTAAGCGACACTGTTCGTTCGTGCTGTGCATGATCACTGACACACAGTGATGACTGAAACATTAACTACTACAAGGAAAGCATAAAATACCGATTTTAGAATTACTTGTGGTTTTCCAAGTGCAATTCGCCTTTTCACACAGCAATACCAAATTGCACAGCTTTGTTCCAAACCACTTTCAAACACGGTCCACAGGGAACAGAAAACAGAAAACCTAGGAGTCCTGCTTGCTTCCTGCCAGGTTTCACTCCCTCTCACGGGATCATGGGGCTGTCCTCCGTGGAGCGAGCCTTTTCCCCGGAGTTCCCGCTGAGCCGCTAACCACTGCTAATTAACTTCGGGAGGACACATTTGCAAGGGACTCGCGGCACCGCCAGCGTCCCGCCCTCGCGGAGCCCTGGCAGCTCCCAACAGCACTCTGATCCACCGGCCGCGCTGCACGCATCTCCTTAGTCACGGTGGGAAGGGGTCAGACCATCACTCTGCAGGGTCACGGCGCAGCGACATGAAGGCCACCTCAGCTCAGGGTGCCCAGTCCCCAGGACCGCAGCTCTACAGTGAGCTAAGGGCAAGAAAACGGAACAGAAGAAGAGGCGAGTGACGTGAACGGGGCTGCAGACTGACCCACCAACAATGGCACGAAGGCCCGGAGCACAAACGGGTGTCATCTGTTTGCAAATACCCAACCAGATGCAAATCAGAGATGCTAAAGAAAAAAAAGACTCAAAAGCAAGAGCTCACAACTACTCACCCGAACAGAGCACAGAGCGGCTGGATCCCTCACCCTCTGAGCTTCTCGCATCTATTCACTCAACCGTGGGATCAGAAAATGAGTAAGACCCCACAGCTGCAGCACCCTCGTCCCACAGCGAGGAACACTGCGCCGCCGCGCACAGCGCGGACCGCAACAGCGGCGCGAACCCTCGACAAGCTCTGCCGGGACCACGTGGGAAACACGGCGTCGCCAAGAATGGCCTCTGGAAGCACTTGCCCCAGGATCTGAGCACCTCCTGCCGGTGGCCTGGCCCTTTGCACAGACAAAGCTCACCTGGACGCCCAGACTCAACAGAGTCACTTGTTCAATCTAATCTGGACCCAGGAAGGGAAAGGGACGTAGCCACGGTCCCAAAGCTAATGAAACCCTGGCAGGGCCTGAATTCAAACCCATGCGCATCTGACTCCAAGCCAGGGCTCGCCCGGTGCACCGCGAAGGCCGCCCGTGCACGGCTGAGTCCGAGTCCAGTCCTTTCCCACGTCCTGCCCAGCTGCCCGAGTTCATCGTCAATAAAGGAGGAGTCTGAGGAAAACACTTTGTCCTATTTCCCAATTTAAAAAATATACTTTAGCACAATTCTCCTTAACACCAAACACCGGCTCCCTACAAGTGGCCATATGCGCACAGCCTGTGCCTCCCCCGTCCGCGCCAGCCTCCCCGCTCCTGCGGGCCCGGCCCTCGGCACCGCTCGCCTCCCCGCGGTGGCCACGGCGGGGCTGCTGCGACGGGCAGTGCCGAAAGCCTGTCTTTTCATCTGTCGCTGGGTCCCAGCAGCGGTGTGACAAGTATCTGCTGCATGCCTGACAACTATACTGTCCCCAAGTGAACAGCGCGCTGCAGTGGCCAAGGACCGGTGTGCCCTTCCGCGCCGAGTCTCCACAAACACACACAACATTTGCTCATCGTGGTGGGGAGCCGAGCCATGGGGCGGTAGGGGTGCGATCGCTTTCTACAGCTCTGGCAACCCATTCCGTATGTGTAATCTTACTACAGAGAGGTATCTTTTATGTGTCTTCACGTCGGCTGTTTTGCTGAATGTTGCTGGCCAAGTCATAAAGAAAATACTTTGGCTTAACTTCTGAAGGTCAGCAGGCTTTTCTGCCCTTCCCAAGTCAATCTTCCCACCGTTCTGCTGTTTATGTTTAAATAGCAGGGCTTCCTTGTGCTGTGTTCCAAAAGTCTGAGACTTTCTGGCACTCAAAACAAGTTTTCCCCTAGAAAAGTGAGAACAGAAAACTCACGTGAAGGGGGCCTGGGCTCGCAGGCCCGTCCACAGCAGCTCCTTATGTAGCACGGCGGGCCACCCCGCAGCCAGCCCAAGTGGCTGCCTGCTCCTGGGAAGGGCCTGCCTCCTCCTGGGGGGGGGCCTGACACACAACTGCACCCTCCCCGCTTCTCTAACCCAAGTGGGAGGGGCTCTCCCTCGGCACCCACCCCCATCCCACCCTCCTGTTTCTCCTCCCCACCCCGGTCTGCTCTCCCTGGAAGCAGAGATCAAAGCAGAGCCCAGTGGATGCCCAGGCCCGAGAGCCAGGGCTGGAAGCCCAAGCCGGGCAGAGGAGGGAGCACAGGCCACTTCGGCGGCCGCCCTCAGAGGGGGCCCCGCAGTCCCAAAGAGAATCGGGAAGAGGCCCGAAAGCCAGAGGCCCCGGGGGCTGCTGCGCACAGACCCCCGCCCTGCAGGAGTCATGTCCTCAGGCATCGGTCACTCGGCGGATCCGCACGGAGCACACGGCCGCCCGGGGGCTGTGCGCAGGCAGAGAGCGCGGCAGGCCCAGCAGGGCAGCGGCCCCGGGGTGGGTGGGCTGGGCAGGCAGAACGCATCCCCCGCGTGACTCTGTGACACACTTACCATGAAAAGCGGAGACAAGTTCTCCAAGGGAGGGGAAACAACTCTGTGAGAGCATGTGACACACAGTCTGTCCCGGGTTAAGGCATCCGGACAAGACCAGCGAAGGATGTGCCGGTGACGTGAAATCTGAAGGGGCAGTGGGACAGGGGACGGGGGAAGGAGGGAGCACTCTCCAGACGGAAGAGAGAGGGCGAAGCCCGTGGGGAAGAGAGACTTAATATTTCCCAGAAGAGAAAAATAGTCACGAAGGTTGTTTTTTTGTAAAATCTTCATCCGAAGATATGTTTTTTTGGTTTTTCAAAGAGAGAAGGAAGAGAAAAACATCGATGTGAGAGAGGAACATGGATTAGTTGCCTCCTCTTCGCACCCTGACTGGGGAACACACCCACGAGCTTTTGGCAGACGAGCCAATGCTCCAACCAGCTGAGCAAGTTCTTGCATGTTCTTGGAGAACAAGGCAAAGGGCTGTTTGGGGGTGAAGAAAACAGCTGTATCCCCAACTCATTCTCGCAGTAGGCGTGTGCTGAGACGCCGCCTGTGCCAGGCGCTGGGCCGGGCCCTCGGTCCAGGTCCACACAGGAGTCAGGCAGGGTCTGGAGTCTGATGACACTCCCACTTTAGGGGCGGAGACAGGCCAGGAAGTGAACGAGGGGACTGACTGGGGGCACGCGCCTGCTGACCCGTGCAGCCACTCGGCCACTCGGCCACGCGCCCGGGCGGGCGCCCCGCTGCCAGCCCTGCCCGCCCGTGGCAGGGGGCAGCGCACACCCGTGCACGCAGGAGCCGGTCTCACCGCAGCTCCGGGAGCAGGGCACGCGTGTCTGGTTTTAAATAGTATGTGCGAGGGAAACGCTGGACTGGAAAAGGGAGAGCCCAGCCCTGCCTGCCTGCCTGCCTCGCTCACGCATCGCATTTCATTCATTCGCTTCTCGCCGACAGGACCGGGCCGCTCCTGGGCTCCGGCCAGAGCACCCCTGCAGGTGTGACGGCCACCCGCAGCAGTCCCCGCTGGGACCAGCGCCCTGCTCAGGCCGCGGGCTAAGCTTGCGGCGCCCCCGCCGCGCCCGCTCCTGCCGGAGGCCCTTGCCTTGCTCTCGGCCCAGCCAGGAGGCCCTCCTGCACTCTCCCCTCAGCGTCCTGCCCCTCCTGCTCCTGCTCGAGGCTCCCGCAGACTGGGGCCCGGGGCGCTCAGCCCTCCCACCCACACCTCTTCTGGGAGGAGCGTGCTCCACAGCTGACACCCCGCCCCCCTGCCCTGGAGCTGACAGCCCAGGATCCAGGCCAAAGACAGTGACAGGAAAGAGAGACGGAATGTCTCACAGCCCAGGGGAAGGTGTCTGGGGACGGGCGGCTGGAAGGGAGGGCCCAGGACAAGGAGACCGGGGCCGAGGCAGACCTCAGGCCTTCTGCGGGAGCACACACGCTCCGGGCCTCCGGGGCGAGCTGCACGGAGAGTCCTGGCCAAGGGTCCCGGCCTCCTTGTGCGAGGTTCTCGGGGGCACACGCTCCAGAATTGAGAAGCTCGGCGCCGTCACAGGCACTAGGACCCGCGGCGACAGGCCGCGGCGGGGGTCCGACCAGGCGAGCTTCGCGAACCCCACGCCCGCCCTCCGTCGCTCCCTGGACCCGCAGCGCGCGCTTTAGGCAGCAAGGGTTCGCCGAGTGTGGACTGTGGGCTAAGTGCTGTTTTAGATGCTAAATATATACTCACTCGAAATGCTTATCCTTGAACACCTCCCGCCTCCAGGGTTCCCTAGCCACCCTGCTGTCCTTGCCAGCAACCAGGAACCTTCCTGGGCACCTGTTCCCCGCCTACACTTCCCGTCAATCACAAAGTCCTCCCAGCTTCGCCTCCTGAATCTCCCCCCCGCCCCCCCCCATTCACCCCACTCCCTTCCACGGCCGCCACCCCTTGACTGAGCCGGTGGCCTTAACTGGAGGGAGTTCTGCCCCACAAGGGGCACTGGGAAATAGCTGGAAACCTTCCTGGCCATCACAGCTCATCAGGAGGGGCTGCTGGCGTGTGGGGGCGGAGGCCAGGGCCGCGCCGCACCTTCTGCAAGGCACAGGGCAGCGTGCGTTGGCGTGTCGCCGGCCACGTGTGTCCGAGGAGCTGCAGGCAGCAGGCCCTGCTTTGAGGAGACAGGCGGGCGGTGCACACCGGCCATTTTGTGTTTGCATTTGTGACAGTTCTTGAGAAACGATCGCAGCTTAGGACCATTTTTAATGTGATAGCATTCTCTTTTGCTCCAATTGTACTAGAGTGAAACACACATTTAGAAGGGAACAAAGTGACCACTTACTTGTGCATGGTTTCCACTCCTATTATGATCATGATACAGTAGGAAATTCCACTTTGGACAAGAAAATGTAAGGCATACCTATAAAAAACGAGAGCACTGTTAGACGAGGGATGGACACCCACTCCCAAGTAGCAAGTTGAAACAATTTAGACTTCAAAGTGCTTAGGTGCAACACAGAACACTCCCACATAAAAAATAAAGAACAAAACCTCCGAAGCCCAGACCCCGTGAACATCTGAAGAGGGAGGTCCATACCGCAAGCCCCAGAAAAGCCGGGGAAAATGAGCCCGAACCCCTGAGCGCAGCCTAGGTGCCCTGCCCAAGCGCCCCACGTCTCCGAGAGACACAAAAGCCCCGCGGGGCTACGTGGCTCCAGGGCCACCGCCTTTTCCACCTCCCAAGGCACAGAGAGGAGAAGCAGTAACAAATCTGGATTTCAGGCCAGACCTGGCGAAACATCAGTTGTTTGCTTCCCCAAACCAACTTCTCCCATCTCAGCTTTGTGCTCAGTCTCCTCGAGGACCACTCACAGACAACAGAGACACTGCTGAGTATCAGACTTTACTACAGCAGGTGCTCCCACGCCCGTCCACCATGAAGACAGGACGGCCCACCCGGGTCCAATCGGCTTCCTCACGGGAATCCAGTCCGTCCGTAACGTGCGGGCATCATCTCCCTGCAAGTCGTTCTGGCCGCGGTGACACCGTGTTCGCCACTGTCCCCACGCAGAAGCCTGCCGCTGAATGAGAGGGCTAACTGATCCACCCATTCAACAACTTCAGGCAAAACGCAATGAGGATCTCTGCTTTTAAAATCAGCCCAAACCAGCTCTCATCGAGCGTCCGTGTGCACACAGAGCTTCCGATTCCCTTCACGCTTTGTCGGCGTGAATAATTTATGAAAAATGCTTCGAACCATTGTACACAGTTTTAAAGTATTTATAAGGATCTTAACCTATGATTAAAAGGGCTTTTAAACTTAATCATTATGGAATAGCAAGCAACTCCCAAATGGAAACATTACCTAAATTTTCAAACACATTTTTCTGTGGAAACATTATAAAGAAGCAGCAGGTTCCACAGCCGGACACACACCGGCCAGGAGCGCCACCGTGACCGCAGGGCCACAGGAGGCCGGACAGCGAGTGCGAGCACGATGACGTGGACTCGCCAAAGGCTGGACGTGAAGATGCTGGCACGAACCGCACGGCCCATCTAAGGGCTTCACTGACGGGGAGCAGAACTCATGAAAGACACTTGTCAAGCAAACAAAGTTCGAGGACTCTCGGGGACACAGCTCTCCCTTCCTATGGGTAAATGGCCTGGGAACAGGAAGCACACGTGACAGCACAGGAGCCGAGTTCCCGTTCTCCTCACACTGCGGTGGGTGCCTGAGGCCCCGGCGCCAGGGCGCGGGCGGTCTGCAGGGCACCCTCTGGGGCGCCAGCCTCCGGCTGCACATGCCTTTGCTGCCGTGACGCGGGCCTGAGCAGAGGGGCCTACGTTCACCTGCCTCACGGGCTGCCGAGGCAAGCAGCCGCGGGAGCCGGGACTGTCTTTGTGGCTTCCCCCTTGCAGCCTGTCCCGCACTTGTCCTGTGAGGGAAGCAAGCGTGACACACTGCCCACGGCGCTCACTGGCTCTCAGGGTTGCAGGTGAGGCGTGGGGGGCGCTGCCTGGGTCGCCTGCCGCCATGCAGCCTTCTGCCGCCCCACATCATAGGGACAGAAACGTCAGGCTAGACACTATCTTTAAAAGTCTATTTCCATGCAAACCCTCCTTATTGAAATTTGAACTAAAAGGTCATATACCTAGTTCTACCTTAACTGGCATTAAAACTAAAGCTGTTTCTTTCTGAACATTTGTCCGTTGGCTGACTCTTCCAGGGGCAGGCGGAGTGAACTGCAGGGACCGCATGTCACAATCCTTCAAGATACCTACGTGCTTCGAAAACAAAACAATCCTTTATCCTAAATCATCACTTTGTTTTTAGATACCACATTTTACTTATTTGGAACTTCCACTCACATTAAAGGCAAGTATAAAACTTATTTTTAGCAAAAAAGAGCACATGTTTCTAAGAGGCTGAGAAACACCTCCCCAGCTGTGCACTGGGCTGCACTGAACGTCCGCGCTCCGACAGGCGCGGCCTGGGCGCTGACAGCGAAGAGCCGACGGGACAGTCAGTCTCGTCCCCAGAGGGCTTCCAGCCCAGAGAGACAGCGCACCAGTCAGCAGACTACTTAACGCTGCACGATAAACACGAAACCAAGAGACCGACGGACACAGAAGCGTCCGATCCGGACCAGCAGCTGGACGGCGGAGATGGACAGTGGCCTGGGCCCCGAGGGACTCCGTGCTCGCACAGGGCCGCCGCGGCGCGAGAGGCGCTCCTTCCCGGGGCGCGGCCTCTCTCCGCCTCAGGGCCACCGCTGGTCCACCCGCCGGGTGAGGGAAGCAGAGCTGAGAGAGGCCGAGTGACGTGCCCGCAGCCCCGGAGCAGCCCGGTCGGGGCGCCCGGGGCGCAGTCAGGTCTGTCCGACTCCAGGGTGCAGGCTCCCTGTGCTACCTGCTCTGTCACGCAAGTGAACTCGCAGTTGAAAGAAACTTGCAAATGAAACTTAAAAAAGGCTGAGGCCAGAAAGACGGAGGAAAGTGGGTCAGCGCGTTTCCCAAGCGCCAAGAGCCTGTCCTCCAACGGCGGGTGCCAGAGTCTGTCGCTGTTGAGGCTGAAACCACCAAGTGCTCAGGTGGGACAGGAGAGGCCACTCTGCTTCCCCAGTCACTCCCGTTAGCAAAGGTATCTCACAGCTGGTACAGGGGCGGAAACACTCTCTCCTCCCTGAGAAAGAAAGAAACAAAGGCTGTCCTTTCAGAAAAGAACAGAGAACTCTATTTTTAAAAATCCTGGGTATCACATGTAATTTGAAATGAGTAGAAGTCCTTGACCTTCAGGCAGGCTCCTCATGTTACAAAGTCCCTGAGGAGGCCCCTCGTGGGGAACGCCCAGCACAGAGATGCAGGCAGGGCCCCCGCCCCCGGGCACCTTTCCTCCTCCCACTGTTTACAAGCCCCCACGGGAATGTGTCCCTGAGCGACAAGCCTTCCCCCAGCGACTCCCTAAAATATGCTACCCAACCACACATTGAACACCAAGTGAAATATGCATCCTGAGATGTGCTTTAGAATACTCCAAAAAAATAAGCTAGGGAAAGGATACAAATGGCAGTATTTCAATAACTGTTGAAGCTGAGTATTGGGAATATGAGTGTCCAATTTATTATTCTGTTACTTTTGTATTTAAAAGTGCCACAATAAGAAGTTAAAACACGTGCACACATACACACGTACACGTTGCTCCATGGCACAATTTACAAGAAGTTTAAACTGAATCACCTGTGAAACCTAAAGAAAACTGTGATGATATAAATTCAACGCTATCGAGAAAGCAGAAAAGACCACATTCGCTCTGACGGAAGAGGCAGAGAGAGCAGGACCAATAAAATGCCACTGGTCCAGTCAAGGTAGCATAAAGGACACAACACAAAGCAGAGTCACTCATGTCAACCAAGATGGCTGCCGGCCAGCCGTGACTTTGGTTCAAGGCAGAAACTACCTAAGTCACACTGGACACATCTGGCAAGGAGACACACCCCAGACGTCTGCACATGTGATCAGAACAGCCATGTCTGCAGGGCGGGGCCCCCCCATAGATGGGCTCCTGGGGAGATGCCCCACTTGCCATCAGGGGCGCCAAGGCACTTATCGAAAGGCCCAGAAGGGTGCAGCGCACCGCTGTCAAGGGACAGCCGAGGCGGACTCCAGACCCCTGCGGAGACAGCCGAGCTCCCCACCCCCGAGCGCTGCTCCTCACCACGCCGATCGCCCTTAGCATCGGCCGCCGGAGGCTCTGCCCTGCTGGACCAAGGACTTCGCCTGCCCTGCTGCCCCCCGGCCCCGGGGATCCTTCCCTGCAGGATGCTCACAACCCCCTGCCCTCTGTGCTGCCTCCCAGACCTGCAGCCTGAGACTCTGGGGTTCGGGTTCGTTATCCCCGACTGATTGCTGTGTGTGTGTGTGCGCGCGCGTGTGTTATATTCCTCTTAGATTGTTAAGAGTGTGAGTAGGATACTAATGTATGTTGATGCCCTGCTTTGAGTGAACCTGCGTTCAATAAAAGCTGAGTTACCTAGTTACTCAGCCTAGTTACCACATGTGACTCTGGTCCATTCCTCGGTGCTGGGCCGCTCCATGGGCAGCAAGCTGCGCGGTTGCCCGGCTGACTTACAGGAAAAATTGTATCACATACATGTACTCACAACAAGAGATCACATTCAGATCTGAAGACAACGCACGGCAGTGCCTACGAGAAGACCAGCCACCGGGCAACACGAGAGGGACTGGCTGATTTTCATAGGTTTCTAGGAAACACCGCAGCTGCCGGAGGCAGAAAACAGCTGAGGCGGCTGTGTGTGTGCGGGCCCTCCCAGGAGCCAGAAACAGCATCCCAGAAGGAACGCAGAGGCGCTGCCCAAGTCCCACAGACGCTCCCGGAGGAGAGAAGTGACTGGACCACCAGGCAGTGGGTGCACTTCCATGCTCTCAGGGGACTTTGCCCCCAAAGCAGAGCCGCGGAAAGAACAGGCCCAGACGGCTGACCCGCACGCGAGCACCAGCAGCCAGCAGCACAGTGCTCCCTGGGAAGGGACATGCGGAAGGAACCACGGAGCAGCCCTTCTACTGGGGGTCTCCGCTCCTGATCCTTCTGCCTCCCCGCCAGCCGCCCAGAACCAGCAGCGAGGGGGCACTTCCAAGCGCACACTCTCGGGCAGCCCCAGGGAAACACGCCCAGAACAGCTGGAGGATCACAAGGAAGAGCTTTCCCTCGTAAATCGCTCTTCCCACCAAGAACAGGAAACCTCTCTTCACTAATGACAGAATCTAAATCATGGTGGTAATACAGTTCTGGGCTTGACCAGACTCTTAAAAGCCACCTGCACAGAAATTTAAAAACAAAACAAAACAAAAAACCTCACACTATTTTAAATGGTTTGTCTTGGCATAAAAGATCTGTAAAATAGGGGAAAAGAACGACTCAGGAAGGAGTAAAGTGCCTGTATTCACCTGTTCTTTTTCATAAATTACAGTTACATGCCCTGTGCCCCAACTGAAGAGACAGAGCCCATTCTCCACTGTTTTTTCTATTAATAAAAATTATAAAACATTATTAGTAAACATAAGCACAAAACCCTACAGCATGTAGCTTTCTACACACTCCATTCACAAAGATGTCCAGTCTTCATTCAAATAAAAATACTTACCATCCAAAGCAAAAAAGTGCAAGATAAAGGCCCAAGAGGGTAGCAACGACATGTCTTATAAAAGAGCTCGTTTTGCTTGAATGCAGGTACGTTCGGAACCAGACGGCGGCCAGCAAGGCAAAGAGCTGGCCCACTACGAAGTTGACCTGAGAAGGGAAATGAAAACGCCACGTTAGCCACACAGATGGGAATTTTTCATTTGTTGTCATCTAAAAACTCATAGGACCAGGACACTATGTAAACTTAAGATTTTCCATTTTACAAAAGAAACACAAATAAAAATCTCCCCGGGGATGGCGACCCCCAGTTCGGAGTGACCGGCCAATGCCCCGTCTGCCCTCATGTGGCACGGCCGGGGCGCCCAGCTTGGAGAACAGGGAGCACACAAAGGCATGGCGCCCTGCGGCGTGCGGGGAAGGCAGACTTGCTGACTGGCCTGGGCGATCTTGTAACTGGGAGAAAACAAGAGCCCTGAGTTTCTCCAAAGATCCCCGGGGTCACGGCCCGGCCAAGATCCCCGAGGGTCTGGTGGGACGCACCCTCTCCTACTGGGAGGTGGCACCCACCCCCGGCGAGGAGCCAGGGGATACTGCTGGCCTACAGCCACGCCCTGGGGACCTGGGAACCAGCTGTCTCAGTTGGGGGGGCGGGGGGGGGCTGGGAGGGGCGCGGTCCCAAGGACGGCTCCAGCAGGGGGATGAAGGACACCACGAATGATCACAGAGGCAGGAGCCCCCGGAAAAGGGCGAGAGGAAGCATTTACTCCCAGGCCCACTGAGGTCGGCTTTACGCCCCCATGGCTCACTGCTCTTTGCCTGCAGAAAGGGAACGCGCGCTGGCGATGGAGCTCTGTCCTCTCCCTCAACATCTCTTTCACCCCAGAAAAATAATAAAGTCAAAGCCCACGAGTAAAACTCCTCTATGGCATTTAAAGACTGAAGAACGGTCTCCATTTCACTCCTCAAAAGTATTCTCATAAAGTCTTAAGGAAAATGTCTAAAAACGTACAAACAAAAGCAAAAATCCATTTGATATTAGGAACTTGCAGAAACCACATAACCACCAGCAAGAATCGCCATTCTGGGAGCCTGGGCCACAAACACACTGCAGCGTCTGCATGTAGACGCGGCACAGACCCGCAGGGCCATCCCTGCCCCGGGGCGGGCAACCGCATGCGCCTCCTCGCATTCCAAGGAGAGAAACAGTAAAACAGTTGAACGCTGTTGTTCATGCAAGTTGACTGTTCTTGGAAACAGAGTCAATACCAGCAGCATGTCTTCCAGCAGCTCCTCAGCACTGTTTCCACGTTATAGGAGCAGAACAACATTTTTTTCATTAAGCAAAAAGTACATCTGAAAAATAAATATTTTTAAAAATACTGTATCTTATTTTTAGAGAGGGGGGAAGAGAAGGCAAAAGAGTGGGAAAGGAACATCGATGTGAGAGAGGATCAGGGACCAGTTGCCTCTTGTGCACGCCCCAACAGAGGACCAAACCGACAACCCAGCCACATGCTCTGATTGGGACTCGAACCCGCAGCCTTTTGCTCCGTAGCCTGACACCCAACCAACCGAGTCACACTGATCAGGGCTGAAAAATAAATATTTTTGATATTAATAACCACTCACATCTAGGAAAATTCTTACAGTTTAAAAACTTTCAAATATCTCTAATTCAACAAAAATATAGAGAGCATCTTATTGGCAAAGCATCTAAGAAACGAAGAAACGCGCTGGTCCCAGGCTGACTGGGCAGCTTTAGAGTCTAATGAGAAAGGCAAACACGTACACAAGGACCCACAACTTGGTCACTAACGTTCAAAACTAATCAAACCGGACACTTCCAATCTCTGCATTTCGCTGTATGTTATATTTCAATAAACATTTTTAAAAACATGATTGCAGATACGAGAATTTGGATGATGTATAAGTTACCCTTGAACTTGGTGGCTTAAAGCGACATGTCTTTTGCCCTTGAACCTGCGATCTGATCACAGTCGGGCAGGGAGCGTACATCCCGCTCGCCCAGCATCGGCTGTGTGCTGGGTTTTCTAAAGGCTCGTCGCATGTCCGCCAGCTGATGCGGCTGCCATCTGAGACACCTACGCGCCTCTCTGTGCGCCCTGGGCTTCCTCACAGCATGGTGGCTGGTGTGACTGCGAATAAAGGAAAAGCTCCTTCAAAGCAGAGTGGGGGGGCCCTGCGGAAGGAGCACTTGCGCCCACGGCACTAGCTGCAGCTGCTTACAAGCCTGGGTGGAAAGGAGCTCGTTTCGCGACCCCAGCCGGGGCTGGGGAGGGGCCCCCCTCACCCAGTCCCTGCCCGGCCAACGAGAAGCCGCCACCGCCTGAGCTCGCGCTGCCCCGCGATGGGCCTCTGCTGGGAACAGCCGCCCCAGGTCCTCCTTTCTCTCTGTAAAGCACCACTCCGCGCCCTTGTCCCCTGAACTCGCCTGTAGCGCGCCGTCGTCTGCGGGCGCTGAACTGCGATGCCTCTGCTGATCCTAAACAAACTCATTTTTGCTAGTAAAGTATCTGGCTATTTTATTTTTAAGGTTGAGACTGGGTTCCAAGCACAAGCACTCTGAGAAAGAGACAGGGAGAGACAGAGACAGAGACGGGGGGTCGGGGGGACAGACAGAGCCACACAGGCGAGTGAAAGCAGTGGCCTCTAACGACCTAACCGCGAAGCCACGGGCGCCCCACCCCCGCGCTGTCCGCTGCGGCGGTCATAAACCTGTCCACATTCGGGGCGGGGAAAAATGCCTTCCTTGCTAGGGAGTGACAAATACTGAAAATACTATGACCATTTCTGGAAAATAAAAGCTAGCACAGGTCAAAATATAAAGTTGAGAAAAGTCTCTGAACGACAAAGGGTGGCAAGAGAGAATTCATCCAAGACGTCACTATCCAACAAACAAGTTCCGGAAAGAAAACAACAGCAACAAAGAAAAGGGAGGCAAGCAGTTACCAAAGAGATAATTCCAGAGGAATCCCCAGAGCTAAAGAACGAGTCTCCGAATTGAGAGAACTTGCCAAGTAGCCACACAAAATGAAATTTAAGGACATCAGGGAAAATGGGAGATCCCATGAATTTTCAAGAGAGAAAATGAGGTCAACACACAGCTAAGGGCAGGAGACTGACACCCGACTTCTCTCTGCCGCCGCAGCACGAGCTGCAAAGTAACAGCCCGGTGCCTCCGGAGCTCGCGCACACCAGAGCTGGAACGTCTGCCAGGTGACATTTTAATTTGCATGGGAAATCGTGACCGGAAAAGACCAGGGAAGCCCCAGGGTGAAGAAAAAGAAAGGCCATCTCTGTCAGAGTTAAAATAGGTCATTTTCTCCTCATGCAAAGGGGCAGGAGCATCGTTAACAGCGTTTGCCTGTCACCAGGCCCAGTCAGAGGCTAGGTGACAGACAACACTGTCAGGGCACAGAAGCTGCTAAATGAAAGTGACGTGGAAAAGGACAGGCAGAGTCAGGGTCACGGCTGCCGAGCAGAGCGGCCCCGCGGAAGCGGCTCAGCGGTCGGGACGTGCCTGCGCTGCCGGGGCCTGACCACGCTCTTCCCCTTCGGGGACATGCACCCTCTTCCACAAAATACTTACTTCTCATGTTAATGAGACTTACCCCCCAAAAGACTTCACTATACTTTTGCAATGTTAATTTCTCCCACTTGGTGTTTACTTTTAATTAGAAAACACACCTTGCTCCTCACACTGTGAATCACCCATTGCTTTGAGGGGCCGCTGTCCCCAGCACCTCCGACGAACAAGGAAAGACACACAGCAAAGCCTCCGCAAAATGCATGTCCAGCACACGCGCCATTTTGTTTAGCTAGGTTCAGCGATGAGGCAGGCACCGTTTTACCTACTTTTGTTAAAAACCCTTGTTAAAAATATAGGCCCACTTCCCTTTCTTGGCGTTTGCTTTTTCGTTATCTCCTCCTTGATCTAAACGGCTGGAAAGCACAGTCCTGCCTCCCGACCGCTCGCCCCACGGCCTCTCCGCCGCGACGTGCGCCTCCAGCGTCCCTCCCGTGGCCGCTGCAGGCCGACACCACCACGTTCAGCGCTGCAGGTGCGCCGCTGGTTCGAGAGGCAATGATCAGTCCCTTCCCCAAGGGCCTACAACCCAGTCTAGCGAGTAAAGAGAAGAAGAAACGATCACAGCCCAGCGCGACACCTGCTGCGAGTCCCGACACACGCAGGCAGTGCAACAGCCGTACAGGCCCGCGGTTAGTGGGCTCTTGATGTCTCCCGGTTCTCTCCAGAGGAAGTATCTTGTAACGGGCCCCAACAAACCGGCACGTGCTGTTTATTAGGGGCCCTCCCGGACCTTGCGTTTCCTGTACTGCGACTCTCCTGTCCCCGCCGCCCCCCATCAGAGGCGGCGCGACGTCCCCAGCCCTCTGGGCCTTCCCGAGACCACCAGCCTCCCACGGCGCCGCCCTGCGGGACGTTTCAGAGCAGCGGGTCCCTTCCACCTGTGCCGGGGGAGTGCCAGTTACCCGGGGAACAGCGCTCAGGAACTGCACGTCGACGGCACACAGTCCAACGCTGCCGGTGCCTGGAAAGCTGACAGCCAGGTCCCTGTCTGCCTGACCCTGCCTCCCGCCTTGGCCGGGTCCAGCTCTGGCGTGGGGAGGCTACCAACGACCAGAACCCTGAGGCGCCCACATCGCCGCCGCCTCTACTGTGCACGTGGGGGGCCTGAGGCTTCCACAGGCTCAGGGACGAGTTCCAGGTTCCCCCCTGAAAAGCGGCACTATCGCCATCTGAAACTGCTGCCTCCGACAGAAGAAGAAAAGTCCCCAAACTGATACTGATTAATCTTCAGTTGAAACACAGAAACAAAAATAGAAGTTAAAGCTAAAACAGGTCCCTGGTTTTCTCATTTGCTGCTGATAAATTACATTTCATTAGAAATGAAACCTAAAAACAGAAACTGCCACCAGGTTCAAAGGTTATCACACGAGAGACAAACATCTATCGAGCACCTGCCACGTGCCAGGCGCTGCTCCAGGAACAAGGCTCCGTCCGTGCGGAAAGCGGAGTCCCGGCTCTCATGGCGACTGTATTTTAGTGAGAGAAACAACGAACGCGAATATGTAATGCCAGGATGTGTAACATAATGGAAGGTTAA